AATTCGTCGGTGTGTTCGCCAAAAACGACCTGCGACGTTCGAAAGCAGTACACATTTTGTGGGCATGTTACTGTATCCAGAAATTTCAACGGATAGAACCTCCCTCCCGTCAGACACTCCGCCTCACGTGTGTACGCGTCCGAACCAAGAAACCCGATCGAGGCCAATTTTCCGCTACGCACAAATCGCAGGCCAGCCAATGACGCGAAAACAAAAGAAATCCCCTTGCTTTCAGTGCCCGGGGCAAAGCACACACACAGGACACGGCCACAGCTGCTGAGCGGAATAATCAATCCGTCAATCGCTACGAAAAGCGAGCGGCGGTGTGATCCCAACGCTGGCCTGTCTGCCCCACCGGGAGTAGTATTTTTTTAGGCGAGCTCGGGTTTGGCCTCGTCTAGTTTTGTGACCCGGCGGCCGCGCGGCCAGCGAAACCCGCCGGCACTTTCTCCCGTGCCGGCTTTCAAGCTAGGGTTTTGTGTTCCCGGGACGGCGTTTTCTCGCTTTGGTTCTCACGGTCAAAGCTCGCCTCGACGCCTCGGTTGGATTATTGGATGGCGACACGGGCTGCTTGTTTGGTGGAATGGAGAAGTCTATTCTTTGTTGAGATGTGTGTGTGCACGAGCGCCCTTGGGTGTCGGTACTCTGCTGTCGTCGCGGCGAGGCCTCATGCATGGGAAGTCGCGGGATCAAGGGGCGGTCAATCCAGAAGAATCCCAGGTTACCTGGCGATATGTTTGCTGACTCGTGCGGTCGCGCAACAATCCTTTTCAGTTTGCATGTAGGCCTAACGGTCAGGCTCTTTTTCACCCCATAAGAATTGAGCCCGGCCCTTTTTCGTGCAGGCCCTTTTACACCCCATTAAAATTGAGCCTGTCCCTTTTTAGGCCCGATCCTTTTGAGTTTGCAGGCCTAATGTTGAGGCCCTTTTTACAACTTACTAGGTACACGTTTTGATAAAAAATCTATCGGGGGTGTTCGGCCCGCTGTAAAAGGCTTTACCATGTGGATATTCCTCCTCATGCTTGGGCCAGCAATTTTCTGGGCCGGGCCTAAAGCAATTCAGAACAGAGTTTCAATAAAAAAGAGAGCGTACCTTTCCCATCTCGCAAAGTGAGATCATGGTAGTATATATACACACGGTATGACGGTAACATAGATTTTCTTTCTTCGTTCTTTGTTTTCCCTCCAGAAAATTCCGCGTGCTTGAACACCTGCGGCATATACTCCCGCGGCGTAGCTCGCGTACTCGCGCTACAACCTGACGAAGTGACGACGTGGCGCCTGCAGAGTAGCAGACGGCCAGCTGCTGAGCGGACGGTGAGGCGGCCCAGCTATAGCCCAGCGAAAAATGATGGCCAAGTTACGATCTCAGTGGAGGCTCCAGTGTCAAATCGATTTCGGCCTGCAAAAACGTTATTAGAGTGGATTAACGTTGGCGAGTGCAAAAAAGGAGTACAGGAAAGAACAGCCCAGAATTTCTCAAAAAAGAAGAAGAAGGAAAGAACAGCCCAGAACCCACCAAGTCCAATTCTCCGGAACAACCAAGAGAGAGAGAGAGAGAGAGAGAGAGAGAGAGAGAGAGAGAGAATAGTACCGCACGAAAGAACAGTCAGAGAACTCATGACGAATTTGAAAGTTCGATTTTCACATCTCATGTTTGATTTCTACAAATACTAGAGCTGCTCTCAGCCCAGTAAAATTTATATGAAAAGGCAGGAAGAGCAAAACAATTTAAAATGCACCACCAGAACAATACAAAAATATACCACGTACAATGATTAAATATATTTTTGAACAATAACTTTGTAGCTAGAACATTTCAAAATATGCAAGGAACAATACTTTTTTACAATTGGAATAATTTGGAAATATAAAACAGAATAATTCAAAACGTACCATGGAACACTATATTTTCACATCTCCAAAAATCAAATATAATGTGAAATAAAAAATGACATTGTTATAGATACTGCAAAAAAATACCACTATACAGTACAAAATTTACAACATGATTTCCACGCAATACAATAATAGAACAATGCAAAATATACCACACAATATAGAATTCCACCATTGGAGCAATTCAAAATGAATTATAGAGCACCAAATATTTTTTTAAATAAAGTACACATTAGACGCTCATAAACATATATACACGCGCGCAGACTCACCCCAATAAACACACATGAGCATACACTATTCCTATGAGCACCTCTAAGAAAGAAACTGAGCGTGGGTTTGCACCCAATAAAAATACAATTTGGAGAAAGAATATATCGACATGAGATCAGATGGAAAAAGTAAAATGGAAGAAGGAAATGGACATGAAAGGAAAAGGCAAGGGGAATTGAAAAGAAACAAAAAGAAAGAAGGAATGGAAGAAAAACTATAAAGCTTCAACATCCCTATTAGGCCTACAATTGTGCACTTGTGGATGCTTTCCTCCCAAAAAAAGAGCATCTCTCATAGTACCATTATTCAACATCCTATGGTAAAAAAGTAAGGTTTATGGATAAAAAGATTTTCTCCAATGGTGCTCCTAACCAACATCCTAAAATTAGTGACAGCCTAAATCATTCCCCTTGTACCTAAATTTGAACCACTCCCCCATATACCCTATATTTTGAATATGAGATTGAGATTTAGTGGGGATTATTGCAGGAGAAATGATTTAGGGTGGATAAAGAAAAGATCGTGTTATCAATGTACTAGAGTTAGGGTACACATGAAACTTAGAATGGTTGGCCAGGTTCTATCGAATTGTTTGGGGGAAAATGGTGGACCAATCATGCCTAATCAAAAGCTAGATCGGCTACTCGACACTAGATGTAATTGAAAGCATATAGGCTCATAATAGTTAGCTGGCTAATAGCTCATATCTAATATTATCTAGCTACTAACTATTAGCTATCTATTTGCTAGAGGGTGTTTAGATGCACAACTAATGAAAAAAATGCTACGAGATAATTATTAGCTACTATTATCTGATTTGGTTCAACTAGTGAGATAGTTATTATCTAGAGGTCCAGCTAACAATTAGCTATTTTATTAGCTGCATTTGTTTGGATCCAAAAGAGACAACAATTAGCAGATAGTTATTATCTATAGAGATCCAAATATGGCCTAAATCACCATTATGTGGAGAGCTATTTGCATAAAAATCGTTTTCCACGTCTTTCCACTTTCCAAAAGTTTTTCTATATCTTGTGTATACTCTAGAGAGTCATTCTCATTTTCTATCTTTAGCTAGCGAAAAATCTGGAATAGAATATTGCTATATTTAGATAACCAGTTAAAGAAGCTGTTGGAAGGTATTTTTTTCATTGAAATCTTTATTCCTAGCAATTAGGGAGGATATAGAGATTCTCTAGGAGTGGCTCTAAGATATGGGTAGAAACTTGTTTTCCAAAGATAAAATGGCGCAAATTGACAAAATCCAAGCTTTTTGTGGTAAGAGGCAAAATGACTATCTACAAATTCACCATAATAGGTGCAAACCTGCGAGTAACAAGTTCACACAAAATTTGACAATTTTGTGATTTCCCCTCCCCTCTTGTGTTTCTTCTCTTCTTTTGTTTCTTTGTTTCTTGAGAACTCCTGAACTCCCTTGTACTTCCTTTTGTTTAAATTTATTTTCAATAAAATTGCAGTAGGGGTGAAACCCCTCCTGTTTCTCGTAAAAAAACTCCTCTCAATGAAAAATGTGATTATGCACAGTTGTGAAAAAATAGCAACTCCAATATATGTGGAAAATCTTAATCTTGATCTAATAAGCTCCCTATAGAAATCTCCTAACAGTACAACAAGGTTCGTGAAAACCTGTTTAGATGAACTTAAGTTGTTCATCTAGCACATCATTACATTTTTTTTCCCGTAACACAAAGAAGAGGACGACGACATGAACGGAGAGCAGGGAATCTAGACGGCACCGGCGCTGCCGCTGCGAGTCGTTCGAAACAATTTAACGTGCCGTCTCACCTAACACTGGTCCACTCTTTCCCGGTTTTGCTGGGCAAAACGCTTCCGTTTCGACGAGCGACGGGGAACGGTCGCGCGCGGAGCCGCGCGGGGTGACGCCGGGGTCTGCTTGCCGTTCTTGTGGGCTTCTGGCTGCATCATGCGGTCCTGCCAATGCAGGGCGCGTCCCATGCAGGCTTAACGCTTCAGGCCTGCGCGCGCATGTAGCCAGCCATGCACGGAGCTCAAATCGTGTGATGCTAGCTGTAACAGTGCTCCACTAGTTTAACCGCTAGCGGCATTCTGAGGTTTATGCAGCTGGCTCACACTATATAGTTTTGATTATCTTTTTTGCACATAAAAGGTACCTAATTAATCTCAGAAAAGAATATTCTTTTACCGCCTCTTCGTGTACAACAGCAGGCAGTTCTCCTATATATGCCTTTTTTATGGGCTTCTTCTCGAGTCTTATGCATTTAAAGATTCACATATAAAGAAAAAAGATACCTTCTACTCACTCTTTCTAAAATACACTTCCTCTATCTCAAGTTATAATAATGTATTTTGAGTTTTTTTAATCTATAGTTTTTGCTATACACTAAGATATATACTATGTCTACGTACATATCTAGAAAAAATAAAATGTCTTATAATTTAGAACATATGGAGTATGTGTTTTTTTAGCTTTTCTAAATACATAGATTTTAGAATGTATCTAGACATAATGTATACTTAGATGCACAGTAAAAACTATATATACCTTTGGGGGGATATACTATAAAAAAATAAGACCAATCTAATGAAAACTATATGGCTTTTTATTAAGAAAAAAACAGATAATAAAATTTGAGTCGAAGACAACTCAAACCTGGTTGTGGTTGGTGACAGCCACACTTCCCACCCCAACGTACAGTAAAGCTAGCTAGCTCTATAAAAGACCACCTCCGTCACCTCAAAATTCATAGTAGCCAGATCCAGAATTGAGTGACAGGCTCAAACACAAACTAGAAGAAAGGGTGCTTAGTGAGTTAACCCATACGATGTCGCTGGAAGATAGTTTCAAGAAGAGCGCAGCCAAGCGCCGCAAGGAATATGACATTATTTACGAGCAGGTAATCATCGGCTGGTTGGTCACTTAATTAAAATCTGCTTCACTCGGTTGATTGAATAATTAATAGTACGACTTCAAGAGAACGGTAAAGAATTAAGAATACTAATCTCCATATCTGTTTCTCTGTGCCATGCACACGCAGCTCCCAGTGCTGCTAGAGAAGATGGACATTCTATTTCCTACGGGGAAGAAGACGGAAAGCTCCGAGCCGGAGGTAGGCAAATCATCATCTTCTTCTTCTTCTTCTTTTTTTAACTTTCCCAGCGGTCACTGTGAACCAGAAACACACAGCAGATGCCCTACGCTAAATATAAATATATACGAAGGTCATTATCTAAAAATAAAAAAAATGATACGTAGTAGGCAACGCTGCAACTGAGTATAATCTACTAATCTATCTCAGCTGGATCTTCTTCCTTGCTTCTCTCAGAACAAATCTGAAACAAAGAAGGTTGTCGCCCCGCTGCCAGCCGTGACGCCGGAGGAAATAGGGGAGGGCTACAAGGATCTGGAGGAGAGCATCAAGGGATTCATCAAGGATCTGGACGATGCCGAGAAGGAGACCGAAGGCACGAGCCAGGCGGCAACGCCACCTTCATCAGTGGAAGACGAGTGATAAGCAAGAGCTGCAGCAGCACAAGGAGGAGGCCTGGATCTGCAGGAGGATCATAGTTTCTTTCGTTCATGTTTCTCAGTTTGCTAATCATCTGGATGTTGGATAATAGTTTAGCTGTTCTGGTGTGTTGTGATTCCGAGTCGGGCAGCTAGCGTGTGTTCGTTAGGTGTCTGTCGTTTATCCGAGTACTGATCATCGCTTTCCGTGGAATCCGAGTACTGCCTATGTGTGTCTGTCGTTTATCCTTGCTGGCAAGATGAATTGATGATGTGCGGAGTGGAGAACAAACATCAACCGGGCGAAGACCATACGGGGTATATCTCTCTCGCGTCCTACGCACACGGTTGGGGCCTAAAAGAAATAGGTACAGCCGTGAAGCCAATTTTTGAAATGTTTACAGCGGAGCCAATCTCGGTCCATACTTATGTTCCACGACATACTCCAGACCGGAACAACTCAAGTGCTACCGCGGTTTGGGATGATGCTACCATATATGCATGTTTGTCCTGTTTGTCTGAACCCAAAACCAAGGAAATTAAATCCTTAAAGTCAAAATTCCCCTCAATTCCCTTTGATCCCCTCTAATTCCTCTGATTTTGGAATCAAACGAACAAGGCCTAAGAGTGTTTAGTTAAAGACTTGAAATCTACAATCATTCATGAACCACAATGGTACAAGGAGAAGTAAAAAAAGATAAACCAACATTGTAAAGTTTTAAACTTGCATTGAGCTATACAGCCTGTATAAGGCGAAACAAATAAAGAATTAAAGACATTTACACGATGATTTCTCTTTTTGTTTCTCCTCACACAAGTTTTTGTTCAAGCTTATTTTTGCATGTTCAAGTAGGATCACATGTTCTATCAATTTGTACTTTTGTTAGAATATTTTATGCAATTCTTGAGGTAAGCTTAATGCTTGTGTCATTTCCAGTTTCGGCTCATCAAGAAAGCATCACCTCAAATAAGTGCCACCATTTTATTCTAATTATGAAAATAAAAATATCGGGCAAACCACTGAATTAGAAATAGAAAATATCTGTATTGTACAAAATCATGTTTTTGAGAGTCAAACATCTTTCTGTTTCATCTTCTAAAAAAACATTTAGTCGATAAAAGGCTATGCGGAATATGAATTCGATAGGTTCTATTAAATCTAAGAGACAAAAACTCTTGATATAGTAATATAATATATGACCTCTTTTAATGTGGAAAATCACTAGATTTTAAACTTTACTACTCGGGACATAACAAAGCCAGAAGACATCCCTAGCACAAGGCCTGCCCAGTTGAATTTGTTGATACTCTCTCCATTCCAAAATGTAGGTTCTTTTAGTTTTTTCTAAGTTAAATTTCTTTAACTTTGACCTAGTTTATTGAAAATACAATTAAACATCCACAATAAAATTTAGTTTTATTAAATTCTCCATGAAATGTCTTGATACCTAGGCTATGGCATTTTGTTGGCATTGTAGATGTTAATATATTCGTATAAACTTGGTTATTGTTTGTTAAAAAAAAGTTTACTTCAAAAAAACTAAGACAACGTACATTTTAGAAACAAGATAGTACTGGACAATGTCGAGCAAAGGCCTATATCCCAAACTATAATTTTGTTCTACAACTTGCTTTTGCGACAAACTTTTTAGCATGCACAATATCCACCATACCTTGCCCACCATTAAAATCTACCTAATGAAGTGAACATCCTTGGAACGTAACTGGCGCAAACTGACAACCAACAATTTCATTTAGACAAGGAGCAAACAAATTTGCAAAGGAAAAATGTGCAAAAGGACAAGCAAGATAGTCTTTGTTGTAGGAGGGTGGCGAAACGACAAACTGCAAATTTGTCATAACCAATATATATGTGAATCGGTAGTGTCCAAGTTCCCAAAATAGAAACAATCTACCAAGGTGTTAATGAATGGATGCAAATCAACAATCTACCAAGGCGTTAATAAATGGTTGCAAACTGACAATTTGTAAATGCATTAAGCAAAAGGCGAAAACAGATGATCTACAAGTTCGTTAAATGGAATCCAACAATTTGCAAAGGAAAGTGTTCAAATGGACAAGCAACATAGTCTTTGTCGATTGTCGTAAGAGGGTGAAACGACAAAGTACAAATTTGTTAACCAATCTATGTGAACTAGATAGCAATCTACAAGTTCTCAAAATAGAAACTGACAACCTACAAAGGAATCAATGAATGGTTGCATACCGACAATCTACTCTGGCGATAATAAATGGTTGCAAACCGACAATATGTAAATATGTTAAGCAAAGAGGAAAAACCGACAATCTACACGTTCTTTAAATGGAATCCGACAATGTGCAAATAAAATGTACATATGGACAAGCAAGATAGTCTTTATAGTAAGAGGGCCTCTTCGACACCTTTGACATCATCGCTGAGCTCGAGGGGTGTTGGCGGTAGTTAACAACCAATATAAACCGTCAATTAAACATGTATAAGGGCACAAATATAATCACCAATGAAGGTTTAGGGGTTTAAACTAATAAATTCCATGAGTTTTGGTGAATCTGTGTTTTCAGCAGGGTTTATCCAGAAAACCGTCAAGGAGGACCTAATCGTCAAAGAAAATTACGGAATTCCGCCGCGGCACCAATGTGGGAAGGATCTAGAAGACACCAGAAGACACCACGCCGAAGCTTGGGCCAAAATGCCACAATAGTGGGCCGACCGGCTCACTAGGGAGGCCACCCGCCCAGTACGGAGCCCAATTGCTCGCCCCTTTGATGTGGACTCTTCCACCGCCTTAAGGATTAAATCTACGCCATTGCTTAATGTCAGTTTGATCCGAGGGCTCACGTTAGACCCTCAGGGCTATATATACCAGCCCCTGCCCCCCTCCCTCATCAGATCCTTAGAGATCCAGTAGAGATCCTAAAACCCTAATTCATATTCTCCTCATGAGGATCAGAGTTAGCTATCAAGAGAAGATTAGACCTCCATAGGATCTAGTTTTTAGAAATGGAGAGATGGAGAGTGAGGAAGAGTTTGGTGGAGGTGCCGCTTTCGGTGCTTTCTCTACGGCTTGTACCTTGGCAAAAGTCAACCTTGCATCTAAGATTTCTCTGGTAATCAACTTCTGATTTAAGTAAGTAACGTGTTTATATTGTTCTTTTGGTTTGCGAGTCTGTTTTGAGTGCTTTAATCTATTGGCCTTAGGTTAAAGTATTATTCATAGTGTAAGCGTGGTGCTTAGACTCGGGTAACTCGTGGATGTACCCTACATTCTAGATCGGTGATAGCTCACGAGGGTGACTCTTATAGCCTCGTTGAATCCTCTGTAGTCCACCTCCTGTTTGTAGGACTAGCAGGATTTAGTTATTATAGGAAACATACTCTATCTGTGTTTCCCTTAGTAATATCCCCAGTTGAACAATAGAAGACATAGCTTATCGAGATTAGAACTAGAAGACCTTAGCGATCTCCTCTACACTCCCGACTTTCTTAAGTCTTGTTGCTACTCTTGGTTAAGTTGGACCGTAGTTAACCTCACATGTTTTCCTGTGGATATTGTAACACCCCAGGTGTTTGTCACCAGTTAAGCAATAGGTTTGAGCTCAAACATGACATGCCGAGTGGTAATGAAGGTGTCAAGATCAAATCTACATGATGGAGCTCCAACTTAAACTTGGGCCACGCACAATTGCTTACATATGGACCCTTGTTAAGTTCATGCAAGAATAATGTTAAACATACCTCTCTCATGTGCATCACCTTAGTATCAAGCTCTCTTGAACATTGGAAAAGTTTCATGAAGTTTGGAATCAAAAAGTCACATGAAATGATAAGTCATATCTTTGCCTAAATTGCTTTATCAAGTGGATGGAAACATATGAAGCCAACCAAACCTTGGTACCTTGCTCAAACAACTCTACTTGCACTCATGAACAAAGGTTATGAAGGGTTCATGTTGACCAGGTGTGGCGTAAAATGCTCCAATAGATTAAAAAGGGTGATTTAAGCTTTATAGTGATGCTACTTTGATTTGGTTTGAACTGTAGCTTAGAGTGTTTGCATGGCAGTGGAACCTAAATAAAAGTTGGAGTCCATGTTATGTACAACAAACTTTATGTTTGGACCAAGAGCTAGATCAGCGTGTAAGCAAGTCAAACAGAGGCTCAAAGTTGCAATCCGCTGCTGTTTTTGACTTCGCAAATTTGGCTAAGTGTTGGAGCTGATTTCAGTTTCATGTACCCATATTTGATGAATTTTAGTTTGCAAACCATTTTGAATCTGGCCAAACTCCTTTAATAAAAGATGGAGTACTCTTGTATCTCATACACAACGGTGTAATCGGTGGAACAAATCATCTATCGGTGTAGGAGATACGATGGGAGGAAAATGGAGCTTCAATGATTTTGAGGTGGTATTTCAATCCTTCAGACTTTGAAATCGAACCAGCAAGCGGATGCCGCAGTGGCCGACCGACTTCGGGCACTGCAGGCAGCGTGGGCTCGTCAGTCTGGCCTCCCTTGTCGCATGAGCGCCACCTCGCCTCGCTCTCCTCGTCTTGGACAACAGAGCATCCTCCATCCTCCCTCCCGCCCTCTCCATTTTCCTCCTCCGCTTTCTTTGCCGCCAGGGACATGGCGGGGCGCACCCATGGCTGCCGTGTGCAAGGCCCCGCCCCATCCACTCTCGCCGCTTGTCACCTCCAACCCTCTGAGCACCCAGTCCCATGCCCTCCTCGCTGCTGTCCCCAGCCACCACCTAGCCGGAAAGTATCGCCGCCGAGGCTATGCCTCGGCCATCACCACCAAGGTCTGCTGCCATGTCGAGCGGTCATTGGTCAGCAATGGCCAAGGCCAAAACGAGCTAAGAGTGGCCATGGTCGGCCACGGCCCGAGTCGACCATCCTTTCCTCGTCGGCCGCTTCCTTCCTCGCCGTCAGTCCTAGCCGGCCGACATCGCATCGGCGTCCCGGCGATCCTCCTCCGCCTCCTCTCAGAAATCCCAACCAGGGG